GAATGAGGGATGATGGAGCAGAGCTGCCCTTTTTAAGGTTGTCCTGCAGGCAGAAGCCTGAGCACAGCCCAGGCTAGTTGACCCCATTAGCCTTTCGTGACCCCAAAGCCAACAGAGAAATGACTGTGCTTTAAGACATTGTATTTTATAGTAACACAGTCACAGCAGCTAGCACATTGTTTATAACTAATGGTGGCAACATGGAAAACAGTGTCCCATATTATTTTTCCATATTCCATATATGGCTGCCCTTGTTAGTGAACACCTCCCTGCTCTAACATTTTACATATCTTATTTATGGATGGCCATAACTGGTAGTCTCATCACACATAGTACAATGACAAAGAGCACAGGAGTCAGGCCTTCTCCACTCATACCACACCACTCAATAAGAATTCACAGGGTACCAGTCTATAGCCTTCTTTTTATTAAAATGTTTTGAGCTTATAAAAATATAATAAGTTATACAAACACAGATAAAATATTCACAATTATGACTTCATTGGCTAAGGGCCTCAGACCTAGCCTGGGTGTTTACTAAATACCTTTAAGAACTGAAAAATAATGACAGTCTCTAGATAAAAATGGCAGTATGGAGTTCCAGCACTGATCAGTGAGAATCATTACTGTCCCGTTGGTTCTGATCTCTGCAGCATAGGCAAAGCTCATTGAAGCAAACCCTGCCCAAATTTATTGCCAAATAAAGTAAATGACAAAGGGACTAGCTCCCCTAAGTCAGCAAGCTAGGAGTCAATGAAACAACACAGATGCTGGCTGCCTTCAAGCCTTGAAGTCTAATAGGCTGAGCTGAGGCCAGCCCACACTGACAACTGTAGCTGCCCATTCTTCACCAGAATGACAGTTGGGAGGCCTGTTGTCCTAGCCCTGCTCACTCATCACTGATGGGAGATGTCATTCTGTAGAAATGTTTCTCTTATAAAGCACTGTTGGCCAATAGGAAAGCAAGATAGGCGTGACTAGGAGACTAGGAGGAGAGGGGAAATAGTAGGAGAGTCAAGATGTAGAGACCAGAGAGAGCAGAACACCAGCCCCTCTCTCTGGTAAGATGAGACCACGTAGAAATACTTAGATTGATAGAAATTAGTTAATATTTAAGACAGAGCTAGCCAATAAGAAACTAGTAACTGGCCAACAGATTTATATCTAATACAGAGTCTCTGTGTGTTATTTGGGGTATGGCAGTGGGACCAGGCCGGCAGAAAAAGCTACTCATAAAAAACTGGTGCCCACGTGGCTAATAAGAATTTCCACTTAAAACTTAACAAAAGCTTTTAAAAAAAGTGTTTTAGAAACAAAAGAACAGAGACAAGCAAGGCTTCTTGGTAACAGCATTTTTCTCAGTTGGACTCTGATTTGCTAGAAACAAGCAGAGATTTGCATGGCTCCTTTAAGGGAGATTTCCTGACTCAGAATAAGTGGCAAAAACCTCAAGGCTTTTAAAAAAGCTCTGCTAACAACTGAATGGTGTGTAGGAGAGCTGGCAATGACAGTGACCACATCTCCAAGCCGGCAGCATACTGCTGGATGCAGCGTAGACCAAGGTGGTGAGCACAGTTCTCAGTTCTGACATCTTGGATAGACCTTGGCTAACACAGCTATGACATTCATTTTAGCAGTGTTGTTTACCAGATAAAGACTCATTGCCAGAAAAAGATAAAGATTTACAGTAAAGACAGATTCACATTAAGAAAAACCGCTAAAGGTTTACAGTGTGTTTTAAAATATACGTAGGCTTGGGAGAGAAAAAGAATAAAATGGTTTTAAGAAGACAGAGTAGCTGTGTGTGGTGGCACATGCCTTTAATCCCAGCACTCAGGAGACAGAGGCAAGCAGATCTCTGTGATTTCAAAATAAACCTGGTGTACAGAGTTAATTCCAGGACAGATAAAAGTTACACAGAGAAACCCTGTCTCAAAAAATGAAAAAAATAGAAGTAGAAGAAATAGAGTAACAAAAAAACCACATGAACATGGGAAGCACAAAAAGAGTGTGGATACTATATGCTGTTCTGTTATCTTTATATCATTTGACTGCTGAGGAAATAACAACAACTGTTAAAAGAAATGCTCTTGGATCAATCCAATTTATATATTTTTAAAATGCTTTCACTTCAAAATTTAAGTCTAAGGACAGGTTACTGGGGAAAAGGATTTTTATTTTTGTTTCCATGGAAAATGAAAAGCTGTGGATTCCTTCCAGACTAATGTGGTCTGATCAAGCCAGACCCCCGAAACAGAGTCCCAGGTGATGCAACATTCAAAACAGTTGGGGCAAGGCGGCCTTACAGACTATAGCCAGGATTTCTGCATCTCCTTTGGATTCCCCATGACAGCGCCCCCTACCAGGAGGAAGCAGTTTGGAAAGAACAACATCCAAATTCCCAAATATTGCTTATAAATGTTGGTTTTTATTGAAATGGGCTGGTTATAAATGGTTAATGACCACAACCAATCTTTTTAAAGATAAAAAGGGAATTATGGTATAGATATAAATACTTTGTTTTGGAATGGATTTTCATTTATTGATACAAATTTAAGGTCAATTTTGTGGTATGTATATTTCTCCTCTTGTTTAGGTATTGTGTTTATATGGCTCATTTAGAAATGTAATGTATAAATTAGTACAGATTATAGATAGTTACCTATGATAGTCAAAAATTAGAGTTAAATTAGTTAAGTTTTCAAGATGTATTTGAGATGGATAGGCATTTTTCAAACCTTTCAAAGACCTACAGAATATGGCATTTAAAATGGTTTAGGGTTTTTCTTGACAGTGAGGCACAACTGCTCCTGGCAACACCTCCTGCATCAGAAAGGAAGGTGAACATCAAAGAAACTTGTTATGGAGTTTACTCCCAATATGGCAAGACTAGCCATTTGGGCAAGAAACTACTCTTGCCTGGACTGTTCGACTTTATGCTATATAAACTGGACATGCAGGACCCACAGGAAAATGACTGCTGATACAAGATGGACATTTGCTACAGGGTTCCTACTTCATGGAAGAGTCTGCCAGACGTTCTGCAGGACACAAAGAAAAGTGACTGGCAAACTGCCAATACAGGTGGACAGTTTAAAGTTTCCTGCTTTGCTGAGGTGTCTGCCAGACACACTATGGCCTATGGGCTAAAGATGGAACATTACAGAAGAACTTTGGGTGACTGACCAAGCAGTACTAGGAGGCTAGGAGGAGAAAGGAAGTAGTAGGAGAGTCAAGATGTAGAGATCAGAGAGAGCAGAATGCCAGCCCCTCTCTCCGGTAAGAGGAGACCATGTATAAATACTTTGATTAATAGAAATGGATTAATATTTAAGATAGAGCTAGCTAATAAGGAACTAGTAATTGGCCAACAGCCTTTATATCTAATACAGACTCTCTGTGTTATTTGGGGCTGGCACGGCAAAGGACAAGACTGGCAAGCAGAAAAACCTACTCATAACACATCACAGATGACATTTACAGTCTAATTAAGAGGAAGCTCATCATCATTACTGAAGACCAGGGGTAAGGGACACTGCAGGATCTCAAAGAGGAATTAAAAGATAATTAAGCAGACTATTTAACTTACTTGATACAGCAAATACCTTCTTTAAAAAACCAGCAAAAATGGATACAGTAAAATGATCATATTAAATATTCAGGGACCTAATTATAGTCCTCTCACAGTATGTTCTATATTCAGTAGTGAGAAATTGCTTGATGGTTTTAAACCTACAGCTAATTCCAACCCCAAAAACTTGTGTTTAGTCATATGACTTGTTATTTAAAAACAACAACAACAAACCCACAGCTTTCTAAACCAGAGGCTTTACTATAATTTAAGGATCACTACAGAGAACACTTCAGGAGGAAGCCCAGCAGCTAGCTGGGCATTACCCCTTGGCAGGAAAACTCTGCCTTCTGGCTTCTCACTTCTTGGCAGTTACAGGTGAAGTGAGAAAATCTGCCAAGAACAATGCCCGTTTATAAGCTTCCTAGCTGTAAATGCTCTATCCTACAATTGCCCTTGTGTGAGAATGCCCGACATGAGTTTCTCTTTCACTCCCATTCTGTGTGGCATCCCATACTGTATTTACCCCATGGAGGCTCTCTTGGCCTCTCCTGTCCTGCCTCCATTTTCTTTTGATCATCTGAGCCTTCACTTTCCCAACTTCAGACATGAAGACCAAGCTCTCATTTGCAGAAGAGAAGAAGCTCAGTCTGAGGGAGGAGACAACAGTCCCCTGGGATGACTCCACCCAGGCCAGGACTCTGATCTCTAGGTGTGTACTGCCCCACAGGCTTCACCATCCCTCACTGGCTCAGGATGCTGTGTCTGAACTCGCACAAGCCTCATCCACGAAGCTTGGCTACTTCTGAAGTAGTCACCATTTCCCTTTCTAGAGAGAAGACACACCTGTTTGAAGTAAAAACAACCAGAGACATTATAACTTCTGTGTCTGTGAGTGATGCTGGAGGCCAAATCTGCCCACACTTCTGTTTGGCTGGGCAAATATGTGTTGTGTGTCAGTGACATACCCCAAGTTCTTTCACTAGTTGACTACAAGGCTTTTATCATCGTGGGCAGCTGCAAACACAGGTCAAGTTGCCCCTGAAACCATAGAGCACATCAACAAACTGCTCGCTCATTATGAAGCAATGCAGGAAGTGGAACGTCTGTAACTTGTAACCATTTTCTTAAAACCTTCAAGCTATTTTCTTCATAAGGACGCCCCTATTTTTCAACTCCACAAGAAGCCATCACCCTTCTTAAAACTCTGAGAAGCCATCACCCTTCTTAGAACTCTTGCTACATTTTCTTAGCATCTCTTCATTTAGCCTATTTGATATTCTGCTGATATGGTCTGTAGCATGCCCTCTGTCTCCCACAAAATGCCTTCGTAATGGTAGGATCAGATTCTTCATCTGTATCATCCCCACATGTTCATTTGAGCGCTTGTCAGGCTCCTTAGGGCAGCCTAAGGAATACAGCGACCCACCAGGAAAAGCCTTGAGTTTTGGCAGTCCGATGGTATCACTCACAGCTGCAGTGGCCTCATTGGATCCCCAGCTGGTACCAGGGAGGACAGTCCAAGATACTCTCTTCAGGATGCAGCTGGGGGTGGGGAGGCAGGTGGCACAGCCCCAGCCCACTCCAGTATGTCTGCACACAAGGACTCCACAGCATCCAGCCGCTCAATCTGCACCAGCTTTGTGAGCAGCTCTGGGATGCTGTAGCCCGCAGTGCTTATGCGGTCAAAGAGCTGCATGCCATCAGTCATACCCCCAATCTCATCCCTTTTCAGTCCAAAGCTCTCGGCAAGGTGGCGCCATGTTTTCACGACCGCCTTCTCAGAGTTGTACGTGGAGCTGAGCATCCGGCTTGTCTTCTCCAGGCAATCAAAGGGCAACTCTGTGGGGCTGAGACCTAGGAGAGGGACAGTTACAGTTACATGTCACAAACTGAAGTCAAGGACAGCTCAGTATTAAAGATCTACCAAGTGTTTAAAATGAATTGACCTAAGTTCTAAACAGTTTCTTCCAGAAAATAGAAAAGAAGGAAATATCTCCCAATCTAACACTAAAACCAGCATCTTTAACAACATATTAACAAATAGAGTTCAACATAGAACAAAAAATTATGTACTATGATAAGTGACATTCTAGGGGTGTAATTCTGGTTCCCGTAATTAAGAGTTAATGTGACTTTTATAAAAAAGTCCAGAGCTAGCATTGTACTTAGTGGCAAAAGCTTAGTGTTTCCTTCTGGTCAGGAGGACCTGGGCTCTGCTCTCATTGCTCATATTTGACATCGTACCAAAGCTTTGAAGCCAGAAAAGAGAGGAAAGAGTACACGGAAACTAGAAAGGAAGGAATAAAACTGTCCTGTGTGTGTGCAGATATGATTGTCTATGTATGAGTATCCAAGGATACTCAAAAATGCCTATGACACAGACAGACATACATAGCAACCGGAATGACTCTTTACTGAATTATGGTATGTGACACCAGCTAATCACTGAGTGTGTATTGTATGATTCAACTTAAAATGATATTTTAAAATGCATCTCTTACATATCTGGGTGTTTTGCCATAAGTATGTTTGTGTGCCTACAAGTATGTTTGTGTAGCATGTGCATGCAAGTGTTCACAGAGACCAGAAGAGGGTGTCAGATCTTCCAGAAATGGAGTTAGAGATTGCTATCATGTAGGTGTTGGGAACTGAATCCCAGTTCTGTGGAAAAGCAGCCAGTGTTCTTAACCATTGAACCATCTCCCCAGCCCCCAATTTGACTTTTATAATAGTCTTGAAATGTTAAAATTATAGCAAAAGAGAACAGATTAGTGGTTGACAGGCCTGCAGGTGTGGGTTTGGGAAGCAGGAGATGGCCCTGTAGAGGTAGAAGGGCTCACTGTCTACGGTGTCAGCATCAACATCTTGGTTATGACTTTTATGGGGTTTGTAAGAATACCACAAGCTTGGTGTGGGGTGCACACCTTTAAAACCAGAAGCAGGCAGATCTCTATGAGATCAAGGCCAGTCTTTTCTACAAAGTGAGTTCTAGGACAGCCAGGGCTGTTACACAGAGAAACTCTGTCTTGGGGAGGGGAGGAGAATACCACAATACAACCTTAGAAAAGAACTGGAGGACTTTGGTGTCTGGGGTTCACCCCATACTAACCACATTGAGATCTTGAGGATGGTGGAGTGGCTGGGTAGGCAGAGGTAAGTATTTAGGTCTTCTAATGGTCCTGGGAGCCAAGCCATGTTGGCCTGAGGGACTCAGCCTTGGCTGTGTCTTATTACTATGGCATTAGGAAGCACACATGTCTGGGCTGTTAAGGAGCACCTGAAGGCATAGGCTTGAAGCTTCCACCCTATAGGACCCACTGGAGGACTCTTCTTGTGGTTGAAATTCTAAATTAATTTGAAAGCCACAGTCCCATGGGTTTGGTCTTTGAAAGCAAAGACATTCTTTGGAACAGAGAAGAGCTTTGGTGGTGCTAGAAGATAACTCCTAGACCATATTCTTTTGGGCAGCCAACAGCACCCTCCATGCCAAGCTTGATCAGGCAGGCTGACCAGGCATGTACTTATGGAGCCATGCCATGTTTCTCAAGGCAGCCAAGAATTCTTGGCCTTGGAATTCCTGCTCAGTGGTTACTCCTGGCCAAACAGAGCATCTAACCAGACTGCCCCAGCTCAGGGCCTGCACTTCTCCCACATGGGACATGTGGGTAGCATGTGACTCTTCAGTCCCACAGTTCAAACAGACCAGAGGTGTGTGGAAGGATGCCAGCAAGGCGGGAGGCAGGAAAGTCCCCTGACATAAGCAGTGAGGAGTTTATTTCCAGGGTGAAGAGAAGTTAATTTAGGACCTGAATTTTGTAGCATTTAGGATTACAGACTAGAATGTTTATGGTTCTTATCCTGTTACCTCTTAACCACTCATTGCAGGCAGTTTGACCTTCCTGCTCATGTGGCTGCTCTGGAAGGAGAGAAGAGCCCTCCAAGGCCAGTCCAGTGTGCCTATGAAACGGCTACATGATGGTGTTTCTGGCAATGACAGAAAGCTCTTGCTAATGCCTCAACTATCTTAGTTGTGATGGTATATGGACCCTGAAACAAGGACAAAAATCTCATACCCATGTGATTCTTAGTGTTCTCTTTGACACTTACTACTGAGTGTCATTGGACATTTCCCTGATGACAATACTGATGTGGACATGGAGCCCCATCACTCTGTCTGCAAAATACCGGGAGTCTCTTGTCCTATTAGGGAAGCACTGTGGGGCTTCAACCTAAACCACGAATCAAATTCCCTTTCCCTCCACACTTGGCCATTCTGAGGGGAGCCTGACAACCCCCATTAGATGACTGTCCTCAGTCCTTCACGCAGGAGCCTGGTATTGGGAGTTCTCATCTCTGGGAATTGTGCCCTGAATAGCCTTTTCATTTTTGTTTTGTTAAGACACAGTCTCACTATGTAGCCCTGGCAGACCTGGAACCTGCTTTGTAGACCAGGCTGGTCTCAAATCCACAGAGGCTCTGCATGCCTTTGCTTTCAGAATGCTGGGATTGAAGGGGTGCACCGCCACATCCAGCTCTGAATGGTTCCCTAATTCTTACCTTCAACAACACCACACACGTTGGCATAAACATCCAATATCTTTTTCCTTCGACTTTGGATCTATAAAGAAGAATTAAAAGAATGTTCATCTTCAGAAAGAGGGAAGACGGTAGCAAAGCCCCAAATCTTTGCACTGGCTTGGCCCTGATGGCTAGGCATACTTGCTGTGCCAATGCCTTTGGTGGAAGCAGACCAAACATATCAGACAGAAGAATGTCCCTAAGGTTTCCATGCAAACACCCTCTGTGCACAACAGGGTTGCTACTGGGTTTAAAGGGACACCAATGTTAGAGATGTGTTTAGAAGGTTGACAATGAAGGTCCCAGATAGCCACCAGGGCAGCCATGTGTGCAGCAGCTAGCAGAGCTATGGAATGCTCTCTTCCCCAGGGCAGAGAGCTCAGGGTAAAGATAGGCAATGAATGGCCCTAGATGAAAAGACCATGCCTGTGGCAGGCAGCATGGTTTCTAGGTTCTTTTAGTGAGATCACTGTACCTAGAGTGAAGTATCCTGCAGGACCAGGCCAGCTCCAGGATCACTGTAGGGCCTTTTTTTACTACCAACAATGTTGCCTTTGGTTTGGCTGGACTACTCGAGGCACAAACTAAAATAGCAATATCTGCCCAAGCCTCAGAGCACATCCTGTGACACAGGCATTCCAAAGTAGCTTGCTTTAGTGATGTAGAAGTGAGTCTACTGCCACATAGGAGAAGTGTGTGTGCATGTGTGTATGTGTGTGCAAATGTGCTGTCCATCTGTGTGCACCCGTGTATGTGTTTACTTGTATAATATTATTTCTTGTTTCTAGAACCTTTTAGGATATCAAAGCCTGTGGTTGCTCAAGACTACTATGTAAAATGTCTATTTGCCTAGATCCTATTCACATCATCCCATGTAATTAAATCATCTTCAGATTATTTCTAATAATTAACACATGAAGTATTTGTGAATAGTTATTGCATCTCATGATTTAGAGATTGATGACAATAAGAAGTATGCATGTTTAGTACATGCACAGTTTTCTTTTTATCTATGCTGAGTTGACTCATGGATTCAGAACCTACAAATATATACGTGTGTGTGTGTGTGTGTGTGTGTGTGTGTGTGTGTGTGTGTGTGTGTGCTGTAACTGCTTGGATATGCACAGTATGTTTTGGCATTTGCAGTGATTTGAAAAAAATTTTTTTCTTTTGTTTATAAGTAGTATAATTAAGATTATTATTTTAGTTTGTTGCTTTGCGCATTGACCTAGCTGAGACCTTTGGGAGAAACAACTTCTTGAGGAGCTTGTTTAATGTGAGGGATCTTGTCTGATGGCTGTAAGTCACTGCACCAGTGTACCATGGGCCATGCTGCCAGAGTCTCACCCCAGCAGACTTGTTACTGGCTGCAGCCTTCTCCCTGGCCAGGTGAACTAGCGACAACAGGCATAGCTCTGGGGACCCTTGCTTGTCTGGGGCTGGCTCCTCATCACTGTCCACACTGCGACTCAGCAACTGCTCATTCTCAGAGGAGGCATCATTCTCACTGTGGACACAAGCGGGATACCTGTTAGTGGAGTCTGGGAAAGTGAAGCCCAAATGAGCTGCCTCAGCATCGATCTTGTTCTCCAGGTATAGAGAGCATTGTACAATGCCTTGCACCTTAAGTATTTTATATTTCCTGAGCTCTAGGTGAGGGAACATGATAGGAGAAAGGGACATCCTGCCCCCCTGACAAACAAGCCATTCTGGTACAGAGTGGCCTGTAGATGTTTGCATGGGGCTCCCAAGAAGCAGTGGGGTCAGAGAGGCTGAGGACACTATCAAGGGCTACATCTGACATCTCTCCAAACTGCCTGATACCATGGATTTGTGGTAAAGATTCACCAAGTGTGTTCTAGATAACCCCAGAAAGGTAAGTACAACTGTGGGTCCTCATGTTAAGACATTAAGATTAGATGGCTGGAACTCAATCAATGCAGGGTTTTTAGGAAAACACACACACACACAAATGTACTTTGATATCAGGGAAGGCCCTCTTGACTAGTGGCCTGTGTCATGTAGAAGCTCCAGAGAGCTCCAGAGGGTAGGCAGGGTGGATGATTACATGCATCCAGCCTCAAATGCTACACCCAGCTCCCTGCTCAGGTCACACAGAACCTGGCACCTGTGGGTTAGAGCTTAAGCCCTCAAACCATTCAAAATAAAAGCAAAACAATATTCTTTTTGCAATGCATTCTGCTTACTTCTTTGGTTTAGCTAAAGACCTTTAGAAAAAGAAATTATATTTGCCACACATTATATTTGAGTGTTACTGTTAGCAGTGAAGGCAATATGCAAACACAGCCCTGGAACCAGAATAAAGAAAAAAGAAAAAAAAATACAAGAGTTATGAAACATAACTAACAGAGCCACTTTGTCATTATGCTTGAGGGCCTATGAGGGAGTTGGCTAGCCCATCCCCTTCAGTAACTCTGGCAGGCAAATGGAAATGCATGATGGTATCTTCACAGATTACCTCATGGCATTTCCACAGATCACCACAAGCTCCCAATTCCATTTCTAAGACCCAAAAGTTGTTTGTAAGGACAAAAAGGTTCATGATCTTGTGTTTAGAGCTGAAGTTTAATATTTACATGTGTAAAGATTATATATTTCCCCAAGTATAGTCCTGAAAAGTTTTCCCTCAGAAGAAACTCAAGCCATGGGGGGGCATATCCTTGCCTGCTCATCACCCCCTTTTTGCTACTTTTAGGAACAAAAAGTTCTGGAAGAATGGAAGGGGCAAGCTGGGACCATACCTCAAGCCCCGTGTCAGCCTTAGCACTGTGTAGGACAGGGCTTAGACCACAACTTTCCAGAGTCTGAACAATGACCAGTTAGAATGAAGGCACTGTGGGAACTAAGCCTGTCCAAGGCCTTGAGCAGTTTCACACCTACTACCCTCATCTACTGTGCAATGATGCCTGTGTTGGGAGTCTTGAGAGCACTAGACTTTTTCCAAATGGGTTAATGCACTAGGTTGGGCTCCTCAGTGCCTGCAGTTTGTCCAGATTGAACAGTCATTTTTTTCAAGTAGAAAAGACTTGGCAAAAATTCTTGTATCATGGGAAGATCCTGTCTTGGGTCAAGAAGAAGGGTTTGGCACTCTGCTCTTCAGGCTCTCTGCACCCCAATTGCAAAGATTGGCACTGGGTAGATAGGACCCTTCCCATACTTGTCTGTAAGCCACAGTACAGGAACCACCATAAAGGGCCTTACTAGGAACCAGTGCTGAAGAGTTGTAAGGATCAAGCCCAAATGACTATGGGGACAATAGGGTAGGACTGCCCTCTCATTGATTTTTAAAGCAAAGGGAGTTCTATGACCCAGTGTTGGTAAATGTACTAAAATACCACCAGGTAAATATCTTCCCCCAGAGGCTTATTATACCAGGCCTTAATAGATAATTGACAGTCTAGACTTTGGTTCTAGCTCTGCTGATCACTAGTGAGTGATCTTGGTCCAGGTATGGAAGTATGGGTGGCATCAACCTGTTAGTGTTAGGGATGTGACAAGGCCTGTCTTAGGTCTGGTACAGGTCTTGTTGGCCTTAAAGCATTTTATGTATTGTTGCCAGCTGTGATAACATGACTGAAATGTATATATCATGGGATTCATCTCCCCAGTTTGAAAAGAAGGATGGAGGGCTCAGGGCATCTGGGAGATGAGGGGTAGGGAGAGTGAGCAAGTGGAGAGTAGCAGACAGGTGGACATCTGCCCCCAGCACACACCAGCTCCTGTAGTTAATGAAGAAACTGAAACTCAATGGTAGTTTTACATTGCTGTCCAACATCTTTGGAGCATCCCCAAGTCACCAGCTATCTAGTACATTCACTGATAACAGCTTGCCTGCCTGCTCAAGGATTTTTAAGGACCCAGTTGGTAGCTTAGTCCTTGGAACTGGGACTGTTCTACCCAGTAGTGAATGTAGGCAAGTCCCTGTTCTACATACCTCTTGGAGGTCTTTGTGGGTGTTGCTGTCAGCTTCTGGAATTCACCATTCTCAGGGAAAGTCACCACACTGTCTGTAGGAATAGAAGTTGGGGGTGAGTGAGAGTTAGCTTGTGGATCTCTTTTCATGTTTCCTTTTCAGTAGACATCCCTGGTGACCAGATCACCACCTGGGGACAAAACAAGTGAGCATAGACCCCCTCCCAGGGTCGTGGAATCAGTGGTGGTCAGGAGACTGTGCTGTCAAGTTTGAGGACAAGGTGGACATACTCCACCTTCATGCTCCATATTGTGTATGGGGCAGCATGGGCTGTGTGTACAGACCTGGAGTCTCTTTTTTCTCTTCATGTGTGCTAGCTGGGGCTTCTGGGTTCTTTCCTGGGGGACTGGCACAGCAGGCTGCTTGAAGAAAGAGAAAAAGGTTAGCATGAGTGCCCTGGGCTCTCTCAGTGAAGGTGACTGAGTGTTGGAATAGGGGTGTGGGTACAGGGTTGTCACCTGGGGCTGAAGGCTTAGTCTTCATGATATAGAACAGGACGATGAGGACGATGGCGATGGCCATGATGAAGATGGTAGACATGGCAATGATCAGCGCGGTGGCTAGGTGTCCTTGGCTTGAAAGCTCTGCTGGCACCAGGGAGAGGAGGGTACAAGTTTTTGAGGGCCTCTCCTTCAAGCCATAACACCTACCAGAAGACCCAGTCACAGGAATACTTTCAGGGATCATACTTGGCCCAAAGGCTTGCCACTTAAAGTATGCTTTGGCTGCTGGGCTGCTCCCACACCGTCGAGTGGGCTCATGCACATTATACTTGGAAGGCTAGGGTGTAAAACCAAGAAGCCATTCTTGGGATGATTACTCTTGGCTTCACTACTCTGAGGTCTGAGAGAAAGGTAGCAGTGAGGATGAGAGGCTCATGAACAAGTGTCTGGAGACAGCATAGTCCAAGTTTAGGCACTCCCAAGCAAAAAGCTACTCCTCAGGCTGGAGATCAGATTCCTGGTTTGGTTTTACTTGGCACCTCATCCTCAGAGTAATAGCAAAAGCCTCAGGGTACAGAGGTCTGAACTGAATCAACAACTTCTGTTTCCACTTCTGCCTGGCTGCTGCTTATTCCTAGAGCTGTTTGCTTGGCTCCCTAAATGCAGCTTTGGTATGTGGAATATCCAAAACCTTCCTCTAACTCTCCAAAATATCCAAACAGGACACCAGGATCCAAATGACCTGTCATCCAAAGAGGCAGTGGCAGGCATCTGGTGGCCTGGCCATCTGAAGGAGGTGCAGAGCTGAGAGCCCACTGAGGGTGTCCAGCCTCCTGATGTCATTTGGTGCATATACAACACTGCCAGATGTGGGAGATGGGTGATGTATGTGTCTTACTATTCTTGGTTGCATGTTGTTCCCAGGTGCTGAAGGAAGTGAGGTGGCTCTGAGTGTGATCATGCAGTTCCATTACATTAGAGAAGTGGCAAAGTGCGTGTGTGGGGGGTCCAAGTTCATTGCTGACAGCTGTTCCCTTTCCCTTGTCAATCCCTCTCAGCTCTCTGAGTTTCAGAGGACCCACAACTAACTGGGCACCCTCCTCACCTTTGTGAGCATGTTGGAAGGGGGACAAAGTGCTGCCCCCAGAAGTGCTGGAGGATTGAGCAGAAACTCCAGAGGTGGCTCCCACACCTGTAAGGAGAACACATAACCTCAGAGATCTGACAAAGCACTGCATTCAAAGGCAGGAAAATAAGATATTTCAGTGAAGTGAGCCAGCCTGGACTGCTGAACTACACTGCAGGGAGTAGGCAGAGAGCACAGATCTTTATTTCCTAGTATATTTAATGTTCTTCAAAGAGTATTCTGACATCTTAGAAATTCTGTTTTTTAAAGGTGTGTGTGTGTGTGTGTGTGTATGTATGTATGTATGTGTGTTATCTGTATGTGCAACATGTGTGCAGGTGCCTAGGAAGGCCAGAAGAGGGTACTGGAACCCCTGGAGCTAGAGTTACCAGTACTTGTAATCCACTCAATGTGGGTGCTGGGAACTGAACACCAGTCCTCTGCAAGAGCAGCAAGTACTCTTACCCATGAGCCATCTCTCCATCCATTGAGTTCTTGTTCTTTAAATAAAAAGCCAGCTCTGCCTTGTCCACTCAGTTTTCCTATGAACTGAGACAAACTCTATGCACTGTTTGAAGGATGGCATGTGTCTATGAAAGCATTTTAGAGGAAATAATGCTTGATTAATTTTTTTAATTATGGAGAGCAGAAATATGTTCTTAATATCTTTTCTGGCCATACAAGCAATATACCCTTATTACTAAAAATCCAGAAAAATAAAACCTGAGCAAGAAGCAGAAGGGACCGGCAGAGCGTCACACTACTGTTCTTAGCTGTGATGTACATCCCTCTAGGATTTTCTCTAAGATTCTGTGTGGTGGTGGTTCTGTATTGCTGGCCTCGTGAGTGCTAGGCAAGCACTGCACCACTGCCCTGCACCTCTGTGCTGAATCACTGTGCTATACTCTGAGCCTAAGGAGAGTTTTAAATAGTTTCAACCAACCCATCTAAGAATGGATGTGCCTGCTCTCACTCCTAGCCATGGCTCATTACTCTCTCTCCACAGGGAGGAAAACCAATTAAAAAAAGGGCAAGTATGGTAGTGCTTGCCTTTAATCCCAGCACTCGGGAGGAAGAGGCAGGTCGATCTCTGTGAGTTCAAAGCCAGCATGGTCTACAGAATAAGTTTCAGGTCAGAGACCCCATCTCAATAATCCAAAAACCAGGGCGGAGGAGGGGAGTGGGGGAAGAACAAAGAAATGAAAAAGTGTCACTTAGCATGGAGAAAAATGGAAGCTGATTTATTATCAGACAAACCACAAGTACCTGTATCTTTCTGTTAAATATCTTTTTTTAGGTCAAACTTGAATTTTTCAGTTGATTAAAAACAGTCAGGGTTGGACCATAGCTCAGTAGTAGTAGAGGCAGAGCACTTGCCCATCAGCTGTGACCCCAACCCTGGGATGGGGAAAGGAGATAAGTTTTCTGTTCTTTCTCTCTTGTCCTTGCTGCTTCTCAGTTCTGGAGAGGGTCATAAAGTAATTCCATGATTCTGAAAAGCAGCTGTGAGCCCAGACAGGGCCACCAACCTCCCTGAAGTCATGTTCTTCTACCCACCCCAGTCAGCCAAGAGAATAGGCCTGAAGGGTACACAGGGGTCAGACTATAGCACCATAGGGCTTCTGGAAGGAGTAAGCAGAGGCAGCAGTCTAACATAGGTTCTGGAAGAAACACAGGTCTGCATAAAGCCTCCTGCTATCTGGCTTGTGCCAACCCAGGAGCAGGAACACGGTCACACAGCAACGGAATGCACTGCTGAGTGAGCTGAGTATACCCTGTGGGGAGAGGCCAGGAGCTGCTGTCTCGGGCCTTATACCTAGTTCGACAAATAGAGAGATGGAAGGTGAACAGTGTGGGTTTGCAAGAGAGTATCACAGACTGAGGGCAGGCTAGAGTTGGATTTCTGTATGTCAGTGAGGTGTCAAGGTATTCAGAGGGTAGTTTGGCCCCAATATTAGACAGAAATAGGGAGGGTGAGGTCTCTCTCTTTCTGGAGGCAGACTGGAAGCTTTTCTGTGGCCCAATGGGATGTTCTGCTTTTAAAGTAATGTTCAGAGATAGCTCTTAGGGAGGAACTGGCAAGGGAGCTCCCAGTGGTAGTCCTGTCTACATATTCACCTGCTCACCTATCAAATGACATTCAGGCTGTGCCCATTCCTGCTCCCCATCAAGTCATTTGCGGGTTGGCAGCTGCTGCAGCCAGCAAAGACAAACTCCAGGCTCCTGCCATTTGTACTATGCAGGGAAACAGCCATCACATGTCATCAGGAGGACTGTCCTGACCCAGCTTTGATTAGAATCTTATTTTATTCCTCTAAAGCAAATAGGGCATTGGAAAGAATCTGATCTGTTGGTTTGGTTAGGGTCTTGGGTGAGCTTAAGATATGTGGGCAGAGGGGAAAAAAAAGCCAAGGGCTGTGGACACCAGAGATCTTTGTTTTTTCTTGTCCCTTCTTGATAGGACTTGCAGATCAAGACAGGGACAGGGCTGGGGATGGGGTGCAAACATACCTAAGCCTATGGTCTAGAAAGAAACAATGGAGGTAGTGTGGTGAGTCCAGACTTATGAAATGTCCCTGTACCCAGAAGGTATACGACATCGCCAAACATTGATGCAGGCTGCTACTTGTTAAGGACATCTTCCAGAGCCACAGATGCTACCTGCTTGGACCAGCTATGCCTTGCTCTGATATACTGGACAGTCCCCAAACTGAAATCCAGCTGGCATTCACAGAACATCCAAACTGTACAGGCTGCAGGAGGTGCCAGACACTCCCCAGCCAAGGATGCTCTTCTGAAAATATCTGAGAAGAGAGAAGTGGAGATGAGGTATAGCAGGAAGGTAGACATCTCTCAGAGAGACAGGAGCTGGAGCCAAACACCCACAGCCATCCTTCAGGCAAACCCTTCAGGTCCTCATGGCCTCGGACCTACCCTTTCTATGTGATAGACCTCAGGGCCCTTCCAGAATCTTCAGGGAGACTGACATTTCCCTCCAGGATCCTGAGGCAGATTCTGAGGCCTATGTTGGGTGCACAATTACATATATTCAACCAAGCCCACAGACCATGCAGTTACTGAAGGGCAGCAACCCATGGTCTGATGATGGGCTTCTCAGAGTCAGAGCTAGGAAGAGAGTAGAGCTGTTCTTTCAGCAGAGAGATATCATGGTTTAATAAGGACCAGGATAAACAAATAGGCCGAATAGATGTTTATTCAGGGAGAAATAACTCACAACATAGACAGATGAACACCAGCAGGTTCCTGGTCCCAAGGAGCTCCCAGGGTGGGGTGGGGGGATCCTCATACTTAGTTCTTCCAGGTAACATCCGACCCTGTCCCCACCCCCAATGGGCGTGGTCAGTGCTACAGGTGTGAACAAAGTGAATATCTCACTACAGAGAGAGAACCAAGGAGACTCAGAGCAATGCAACATGTGGGTGCTTGGTTTGGATGATCTGAGTGACAGCTCTGTTTCAGGCAGGGGAAAGGCATGTACTCAGTGGAAAATAGCTAGAAACAAATCAATCAGGACCTGCTCTGAGCACAGTAATGATAAAAAGCCACTTGCCTCTTATTTGATCTCTGTCAGTTCAGTGCTCACTCCCTGCTTTCCAGGAGGAAGGAGTGAGACATGCAGAGCAAACCCTAGTCCTGAACATTCCAAGGCTGATCTCACACAGGTCTTTTCAAGTTCCTCACCATCACCACACATCAGCATCATAGAGAACACCAGGGCGGGGTGGGCCCAGAAGGACCATCTAGAAGCAGCAGTGAGTGTGGTTTGCTAATGGGCTGGAGGGTACCTGCAGGCCTAAGGAGGAAATGTCAGGTCCCTGGTAATCACTTCAGAGTGCTTCTGTTGTTTCTTAGAGTGGTTTGAAAAATCCCCAGAGGAAACAAACACCTGCTCTCTATTATTCCCAAACCCTTGGAAAACACATACCAGAATTATAGACGTATGCACATTAATCTTATGAACACACTATATCATGCTGAATAAACTGTGATATGTGTTTGGGCAAAACAGGGAAAGAGAGGGAGAGGGGAGGGAGAGGGAGAGGGAGAGAGAGCAAGAGAGAGAGAGAAAGAGAGAGCAAGAGAGAGAGCAAGAGATAGCAAATAAGAGAGAGAGAGAGAGAGAGAGAGAGAGAGAGAGAGAGAGAGAGAGAGAGAGAGAAAGCACCCAGAGACCTGCTGCTCTTCACAGGATACCTTTTACCAGGCATGGTCTACAAACTATCCCACTTTGGCATCTGCATTGCCCACCATGGAGGCACAGCCATGGTGTAAGTTCCCCAGAGCAGCATGCTAGAACCCATGCATGCATACTGTCCTGTATCAGCTGTCCCCTAGTCTGATGTGGATTGACTATGCATTATCAAAACGTTTTTCTAGTAGGAATAACCCACTCTACCCTCACTCAGTCATTTGCTCCTACATATCAATATCTTTGGGTAGTCACGTGTGGATGAATGTTTGCTTCCATATGACCCTGGCTTTAAAATGAGCAAGGTGAAATGTTTGCTAAAAGCTGGTAAAAAACTGATGTTCCAGATAATGGAACATCACTCGAGGTCTAACTAGAAAAGATGGTAGGGACATATGTGCCTAGTTCACTGTGAATTCCCAGGCTGGCTGCAGGGGCTCAACTCACCTTCCTTGGGGACTTAGTGAGCTGTAAACATGAGGCTTAGTGGAGTTATAGCTCTGTTCAAAGAGATGATGGTATATAAGGGGCCTTTGAAGTTGTTAATCCACACAATTTATAAATGTGCCAGTATGCATTAGAGGCTGGCTGGCATTCTCTACAAAGTGTAAACAGTTTGGATTTTTAAGAGTGACTTGGTTCTTAGAGTTGTCAAGGAGGTGCCTCACAGCCCTGGCATTAGCTGTGGGTCCTTGAGCAATGGGTGGAGTCATCAGATCCCCATTAGCTACTAGAAGAGATAGGACTGCTTGCTGGGAACACAGCCTTTGCTTCTGCTCAGACCTGCTTTGCAAGGCCATGCTTCTTACCAGGTCCTAGGTGCTATGTGGCACATTTTGGTGTGAAAAGCACTATGTGGAATATTCTGGTGTGAATAGTGCTGTGTGGCATGTTCTGGTGTGAACAGCACTATGTGACATGTTCTGGTGTGAATTGTACTTTACAGAAATGACTGGGTCCATACTCCTGGAGACCAGGATTTCCTGTTTATGTTCTAAGGCTCAAATGAGGGAGTGATGTGTGCCAAATAGAATCTATTATAGTGCTCTAAGCCACAGCCTAGTCTTTTAACCGAGTGTCCCTCCCTAAGAAACCACTCTATTCTTGACTTAACTCAGGGGTCTTAGTCACTGACATCAGACAGACAGACAGACAGAGAGAGACAGATGTGACAGGGCTGCCACAACACAGTGCTTCTATCACATTATATCCTTGTCCCTCTAACCACTCTGTCCTAGACAAGCTGTTGGAAGTACAGGTATGCTATTTGGAGGAGCCTGCTGTCCACTGCACTTGAATATCTCACTAGTACCCAACTGGGTATTTCCCATACACTATCTATACAGTCCCATCTGTCCTCACAGAATTCTTGTGACACAATATCTTAGAGGAAACTGAGGTACGGAGAATGAGATCACTTTCTTAGGCATGGAAACTCACAATGAAAGTCAAGCTGGATGCACACCTTTCTCCATTCCTGAGATCCTGCCTCCCTTCAAACTCTGACCAACTGCCCTTACAGCACAGGCCCCTCTACTTAGTGGTCTGGGTATCTATGAGAAAAGGAAATTACAGACAAATGATCTTGCTCTTTGGTTTACTGAAAAAGCAAACGAAAGGGATTTGTGTCCCTTCGTTCTAACATGGATTTACCAGTGCACCATGACAGCAGGTGACAAAGGAGGCTGAGGCCTGAAGCTCTCTCAGTGGGCTGTTGCTGTCAGGAAGGGAGGGGACTTTCTTTGCTTCAAGGCCTCAGGAAGAGATTACTGGGCACCAGTGGTGGTTTAGGGAGGGCTGTCTGCTGTATCTATTTTTTTTCTCCATTAAATGGTAGAGAAAGCAGAAACTGAAGTGGCTGGAGGCAGGACTGACCTGAGCCCATCATCTTGGCCATCCAGGAACAGGAACATTTAATTCTACTTTATAAGTAAATGCATGTCATTTTCCTCCTAGGGTCCCTTGATGGTCTGTGTCATAGCAACATAGTAGCACTCTTATGACATGCTTATGGGAATGTTTGATGAGCATTAATCCACCCTGGCTGTGCAAAAGTCTGAGTACAGCCTGGCAGGGATGGAAACAGCTCCATGAGGCTGGATAAATACTCTAACAAAGGCAGGAAGGGTCTGGAGCCTTTAACCTACACCCAGTGTCAGACTTAATAAGAATGTGTTTGGGGGCCACCAGGACCCCCTGAGTCAGAGGCAGACCCAGAAACCTGTGCTATCTCAAGCAGTTCATGGGAATACAATAAGAATTGAACTCTGTTTGGTGCTCAAAGATGCAAACAGTTCTCTGTGAATGCCAGTGCAGGCTCAATCATGTGAGATGAGGAGAGTGGTGGGTACCCTGACTCCCATCCTTCCTGAGGAGGAAACCCTTATGCTGATTCGGGCATGTAGATGGACTGGCTGCACTGCACCTGGCCATCTGCCTGCTCCAGTTCTATGGAGCATGTAGCTGCATCACCAGGTGCCCCAGGGTGCTTGACTCAGAGTACCAAGAATGACAACTTGGTTCAGCAAGGCCCAGGAAATCCACCCTTCAGGTGAAGCCTAGGCCACCAGCCAGGGATTTCAAGATCCCAACAAAGATGAGGTTTGGCCACCCCTGGCTTTGCTGGGGTGGGGCTATGAACAACAATACTGAGCATATGGCTCTCCTAATTTCATGGGGCTATCTTTATAGGTAGTCTTTCCAGTCACAATACATCCTGGGTAGCACAGTCTTCAGACTGAGCCAGAGAAGGGCTGAAAGGAGCTGGCTTTATGTTCTGAAGGAGGCTATGATCCATCTGCCACATCTGACACAGACAAGCTTCTGGACTGGGCAAACAGATGCCTGGAGACAGGCCTGAAAAGGCTCCAGTGGGATCTGGGCTGGCCCCAGAACAAAAGCTGGATTATAAAAAACCTACAATGAAGCTTTCCTAGGATCTAGCTGTCAGTTAAGCAATCAAAGAGTAGAGGGATGGAGGGGGCTCTTTTTTGTTTGTTTGTTTGTTTGTTTTTTTTAATCTCTAAGAGTTAGGGACTTTGCTTGCTTTCCTCCAGGTTAGATGCATATGGTTGGTTAGCTCTTCTGTCTGCCCAGGCAATTAGGGAAGGTCATGTATCTGTGTTAGGACCCCTAAAGAGAGCTGCACCCCCCTTCCTGGTAGGTGGTACAGTCCATTCACTCAGGTGAGAACCTCATCACAGAATCATCTGGCATTTAATCCACATAGATTCTCCAACAGAAGACACATTAGCAATGGCAGCTGACTTTACCACAGGTCAGGCTGGCAGCCAGGAGCCCCAGGGCCTCTTCCAATTTGTAAATTAATTAAGATATGACAGGTAGGAAGTTCAGTTTTAAGCACACGCAAGTCTATTCCGATTGTCAAACTATTTGGTATACAGAGAATGGCCTGGACCTCTAATTCACCCATCCCCAGCATCCCTGTTTCCAGGCATCCTGTCCAGTAACAGAATTACTCTCCTGGGCCTCAGCAGAGGGGAGGTGACACTCTCATTCCTATCACCTGGCCTTTTAAGGAGGAAGTCTCTATTACCCTCTCCTTAAAAGTACTATTGTGACCAAGAGTAGATAGATGGGCCTTGTCCCAGGCTGGTTCCTTTAGAGCCTGAGTGGATGAGGAGGCCAGACTCTCCAGCCTTTCTTCATCCAGGTGTCCCATTTGACATTCAGATGCAGGTTAATGGCCTCGGCCTTTATTAGACCATATTGCAAAGCCAAAGAAGCCACAAGTTAGAGTTCTCTGAAACAGAGGAAGGACCAGAAAAGAAGCAGCTCATAGAGGGTTATACACTCATGAGGCTGATAGGGTTGCAATCCAGGTATACCAGGTCCCACCCCTTGGGGACCTAGCAAAGAGTGCCCAACCCTGAACGCATGGCAAGCAGTAACCTGGCTCTGTACACAGGTGCAAAGGTCCCATTAAGAGACAAGCTCTTCCCACTTCTACTCTCTTTTCACCATCTGTTTGAGGAGGCAGACAGATCTCTGTCTTTCTCTCTTCCCTTTTTCTCTCCCTTTCCCCCTACTCCCTTTCCCAATAAAACTTCCTTCCCACACAAGTTCTGCCTGATGGGCTTATTTGTCTCTCATTCACCACAGAACCCTTCCAAGGTCCCCCTTGTGCCATATTCATAACAGGTAGTTGTAATTTTTTGAAACTATCTCATTTCTTGATAGCTTATGAATATTTCTACATTTCCCATAGCCTCATGTAATTTTATAGATAAACGAGAACTTAAAAATGTCTAGTACTTTATAGTACTTTCTAAATACCTTTGTATCTGTAATCCGCTTATCTTTCCTAACTGTCACATAAGCTGAGTAGATCAGGTCTTGGGACAACCAAATAACTCCTTAGAGGTGCTGCTGGCCAACCCGAATGACAGCCTTACTATCTGACTCAAAAAACTCAACCACAACAAAACCAATATCTTGTTTAAGGCAAGATTTTATTTTTATTTGTGTGTGTGTGTGTGTGTGTGTTGTGTGTGAGTGAGTGTGTTAGGTGCCCACAGAGGCCAGGTGAAGACATCAGATTCCCTGAGCTGGATGATTGTTAGCCCTCTGAAGTGGGTGCTGGGAACTGAACTGCAGTCCTCTGCAAGAGAAACAAATGTTGCTCATGGCCAAGCTGCCTCCATGTCCAACTGCTTCTGTGCTAGTTTTATCTAGGCATTGGAACTGGTTTCATGGGGTCTAAGAGACTGGAACTTTTGCTGAACCTCACAATCAGAGTTAATAAATAATATATCATGAGGTCACTCAGGACTTAAGAATGCTATCCTACTGTTTGTTTCACCTCCATTAAAGAGAACAATGTAACAACCAACATTACTATGTATTGGATTTCCCATTTATAATCTAAGACAATGCATAGCTGTAATCTTAAATTGTCTCCTTTCATGCCCCTTCCCTAGGAGTAATGCATATGTGTGTTAATGTATGTTATGTTAATGAATGCTGAAAACAGCAGAAAGCAACCTTATAAAACATATCCACGATAAATGTTGACTACAGCATGGACATAGGTCAATAAGTCTGTTTGCAGTGACATTTGCAGTCGTGTTTGTTATGTGGGGCATTTGGGGTCAGTTGAGGTCAGTGATTTAATCCTTTATAAAACTCTGTTAAAAGATTTCTGTACATATTCCCGCATCTCTTTACTGTGTGGTGCTTTCTGTGCTGTTCAGTACAAGAGAGAACAAAGCCCTTTGTTAGGGACACAGAGAGTCTCATATACACAGGCACAGGGGTAAACAGATTCACAAGACAACCTTCAGGCAGGCACAGATTTCCAGTCATACAACAAACTGACAGGAGATGATAACACATACAGGGAGAGGAGCAGAGAATTCAGATCCAGGCTTGCTCTTGGTACGACTTTGACTTCTTTTCCCTAATGCAACACCACATACATTTTGGGCACTTGGGCACTGTAAGGTCACCACTAAAGAACTGAAATGAGACAGTGGTTCTGTTGGAGGGTAGAACACTTACATTCTTTGGTGTTGGGAGGAGCCAAGAGGCAGGAGTAGCAGACCATGCCGTAGATGTTCCTGGGTCTGTTCTCCAGCATGTAGTAGCTGCAGGAGACAAATGAGACAGAGTAAAGGCAGATGAGTGACAGGTACCACACAGGTACAACCTGTGTGGCTGAAGCTGGGCATGAGATAGCTTGGTGGGAACTGAGGACCTGGGAGGCAAACAGCCTCCCCCCAAGTTCTTTGGGGGATGTTTAGCCTGTCCTGAAGTAGAACATTCTGGGTTGACTTGGGGCCTGACTTCACATAGGCTGCTCATTGTTCCTTTCCTGAGGGGATTGTTTAGCGTGTATATGTGCACACACATGTGCCTGTGTGTGTGTGTCCGTGTGTGTGTGTGTCCGTGTGTGTGTGTGTGTCCGTGTGTGTGTGTGTGTGTGTGTGTGTGTGTCCCCGTGTGTTTACTATCTGTCATGACAGCTGTCAACAGATATGCCCGTGTGCTACCACATGTGGGCACTGGCGAGCTCCCTGTGTCTCTCTCCTCTCACTGTCACCCTTCTCAGAGCCCATATCTTGGTGGGGTTGTTGGCAAAATGCCCGTTTGTCCCTGGGGCCCTTGAGACCCCTCAACTGCCAGAGTGGGTGACAGTGCCAGAGACAGAAAACAACTACACTGGTCACACAGACCAGTACAGGTAGCCTTAAAGAGGACCCAAAGTGGAACCAAGTCCTGATACAGTCAATTGCCCTGGGCTAAAGACACCTGTGTAACTATTGTGTTCACCTGTAGTTGTACTCAGAAGGAAGGGTGAATCACTCACAGTGACATTGCTTCAAGTCCTTTTCACCCAAACAATGCTCCTGCCCACGCCCCACCCCTTAAAGGACTAGGCCCTCAGTAATTGTCATTCCCCTCCCATAGCACCACAGAAGGGGAATGGCACAGGAGGGGATTTTTTTTGACATTTTGGCCCATTTCTTGGTGTGAGCCATTTTCCATAAACAAACACTATAGGGTGCTCATGAGGCCATTTATCACATTGTAAGAAGTCTAATCAAATAAAGCGAGCCAGCATCCATGCTTCAGCGCTTCCCTTTATGATAACTCCAGAGATGAAAATCCCTCTCCACTAGAAGATCCACCTGCAGTTGTTTCCTAATCTCTTTCTTATTTGCCCTCTGATGGCTGTGGGTGGTAAGATGCTACAGGAGAGTGAGCTGGGAGACTCTAGACCCCAGCCTGCTTGAGCTTGAACCATTACCAGTAACATCAGGGTTGTAATTGCTTGCCCTTCCTCAAAGCCTTTTATCTTCAGATCCCTGTGTATCTTGTAAACATTAATTAACCAAGGGAGAAACCACAACAGTTTAACTGTCAAGCCTTCTGGAAACAGCTCCCAAATGCACCCTCTGGTCTCCTAAGAAGCCATCTTTGACAGTGAAGTAAGGAGCTACATAGGGACCAATGGTGGCTCTACCCAGCCAGAGCAGATGGCCTCAAGTTGCTGGGGCAGCCCTGAGTGCAGCTTCCTAACACTATTGAAAAGCTGTAAAAAAAAAAAATACTGCTTTCATCTTATGTGTATGAATCTTTGGTTTACATGTTTTGTTTGTGTACCACATGCATGCCTGGTGTCATTAGAAGTCAGAAGAGGGTGACATATCCTCTAAGACTGGAGTTACAGAGTTTGTTGGGTAAGTGTTGGGAATCAAATCTAGCTTCTTTGGAAGGGCAGCCAGTACTCTTAACTACTGAACCATATCTCAAGCCCTGCTATAAAAAATTTAAAGATGGGTTGCTTCTAGGAAACTGTTTAGAAGTTTGTGGCCTACCTGGTACACGTGTCAAATGCCTCCAGGTAGGAAGCCATCTTGTTCTAGCATGTATTTCTACAAGAACATTTATGTATGTGTTTGTATGCATTCCTACACAAATATGTGCATATTTGCATGTGGTGAATATGTACTTGTATATGCAAATATTTGGAGACAAGAGTCAATCTCTGGTACCTTAAATGACTTGCTTTCTGCCTTATTGGTAAAGACAGGGTCTCTCACTGAGCCTGGAGCTCATTGACTCAACTAGGCAGATTAACTAGTGAGCTTCAGGGATCCTCCTGTCTCTGTGATACATGTTGTCACTTCTGGCTTTCATGTGGATGTTGGGGATCTGAATTCAAATCTTCATGTCTGTACAGCAGGCACTGACAGAGCCATCATTCCAGCCCAGAGACCATTTTTTTTAATGCTAGATTTTTCTTTCAGGACTAACCTAAACTAACCCCAGAGTCCTGCATACAGAGTCCTCCACAAGGGTGGAGAATGCTGGCCTAGTTTCTGCCTTCTGACAGCTTGAAGTAAAGTGTTCATTTATGCATCTGTGGTCCAGCTAGTGTCAAGACCACTTTCCACAAAATTGGAATCCCTTACTCTTTGATCCATATCTTAATTTTCTCCACAAATGCTCCCGGACTTACTGTGAGGCTGTATTCTGATAAGTTCATTGTAAGTTATAAGGGATTGTTAAATAGAAAAATGCATTCAGTACACTCAATCCCACACTAGTTGGTGGAGCTGCTTGCAGTGTGCTCAGGACATGCATGGTTTGCCTACGACTGGGCTGCATCATCTAGCACAAAGCCTACTTTGTAATAAAGCTTCTTATTCAGTGTTCTGGAAGTGAAAGACAGTGACAAATGGGGCTCACCATTACTGAGTTAATCCAAATTGAAGCAATGTTTCTCTTTAATGACTAGAAACATCATAATGGAGAAAAATGCTAAGCTGAGCCATTGTCAGCTAGCGACAACCTGAAGTATTCGCTCCTTCTCTCATTTATTCTTCCTGGCCTAAGAAGTTTAGCTTGGGGCAAAATTTGGTTTACCCAAGGATCCAAGTCTTCTATTCAGACTGACTTCCTCTAAGTCAGTAGGAATTGCTTCTCCCAGCAGATTCCTTTGTACTATAGGACCTAGGTTTGCAGTGGATGTGATGCTCTGGGTCATGAAATGCTCCTGACCTGCAGAAATCTGTGACTTGGAGAGTCCTCTAGCCTGCCGAGCCCATGAGCTGCGCTAGGCCTCCTGTGTAAAGGCGGTGGTTGTGTAGAGCTGGCTTCAAGAGCTACCCACAGGTAGGGGCTGCCAAAGTGGGGGAGGTAATGAAATCTAACCCCTTCCCTCTTGCCTTGTCCTTGCCTCCTGTTGTCTCCCACACAGACCTTTCCCAGCAGGAAAGCCCCATGTGCTGCCATTGTTCAGTGAGTGTCTGGGCCACATGTGCATACAGAACCAAGAATGGGAGCCAGCACCTGCCAAACCACAGGGAGGGGAGAGGGCCAGCCCACAGCCTTAAAAAGACAAATACCAGGTAAATCTACATCCTGGCTCATTAACCACAGGGGTTCATGGAGCTAATTGGTCCAGCCTGCCCAAATGCCCCATAGTCCCCTGTGACAGCATGAGAGCCTTACTTCTGTAAGTTTAGGGCAAGCAATAGGAAGTGCCCCTATGGAGCTTGAGATCCTTCAAGAAGGAATAGTATTTCTAAGAGGGCTTTAGGGACCAGGGGTGAAGTGGAGGCTTTCTGTTTAGTGGTTTCAGGGTCAGGAATGATTGATTTAGCAGATATATCTCACTGCACACCAAAGAGGGAACTGGCTACCCAGTTTCCACATTTGTGGAGTGATATGTAGCATACAGAAATGGGTGTGGACATGTGCCATTCCCCCACTTAGGGGGTACTCTAGCCTCAGTCTGTCTCAAGTGCTGAAGATAAAGTTACTGTTCCACAGAACAGAGAGAAGTACTCAAGACTCAGAGCCTGAAACATGCTTCTGGAACCCATGCAACTCCATCACTCATTCTACAAATGGCAACTGCTTGAAGCCTTTTAGAGGCAGGAGGCTCACTAACATTATCAAACGTCTTTGGAGATTGAATACTTTCTGGTAAATGTTGGGACCAGGCAAATTGTCTTCATGGCTCTTGAGTCAGTTCCCAGGTGTTGACTGGCATCTGCCCCTGAGCAGTGCAGTCACTTTATGGTCCAAGACTCTCTCTCCTATTTTAGCTAGAAAGTCTCATCTCTCTGTCACTAATTGGCAGTGAAGCTGGCTGTATACAGTCACTGTCCCTTTTAGATAATCCATAACAGAGCAATCGCTTCCATGGACCACTGATGTGCCACAGACTCGAGGCTCACCTTTAGCCATTTGACAGCTAGGTGTGTACGAGGGAGAGCTTCACCACACACTGGTCCACACTTGTACTGTGAAACTGCCTCATGGACAGCCAACCAATGCTCATCACTCATCTTGAGTGTCCATCCATGTGGGTGAGTTTGGTCTGGATGTACCACGGCACTGGATTCTACATGTCTGACTTCTACCTGTTTCTACATCCCCATCAAATGCTTCTTCCTCCTGTACTCTATATCTGGATAAATGACACTATTGTCCACATTGGCACAAGGAGGGCAGACACCACCTTGTGCCTCCATCTAGCTTCTAGGCAGCCATTAGACTCTTGTAACCCCCAGTGCCTCTGTCCCAGGCCCCTCCCCCTGATCGCCACATTGCCCTTGCTCCCTAGGATCCAGGCTCTTCACTACTCAGCCATTTCCCTTATTGCTATCAAAAAGAACCTACTGACACTGAGCCCTACTGTGTCCTTCCCTGACTTGGCATTCTGAGTAAAGACTTGCATCATTTACAAGCTGAAGGCTTAAGTCTTCAGTGCTGGTTGCTGGAACTCCTCTATTTTGCTCTACCTTCTCTAGCATCTCCACATCTCCTGGCATGAGCTCCTTACTGAGGCCATGGGTACCAGAGGACCAGGCCCTGTCAGATGCTTGCGCTTTGAAGAAAAATAAGTAGTGCAGCTGTTACATGGCTGTAAACAGGGTCTACACAGACTATTCTTTCTCTGCAAAGGAAGCATGATGGGATGGGTGTGCCTGATACAGGTGACCCCCAGCCGCCCTGCATTTCTTTGTGTATCATACTTTTGAACCAAGAAAAAAATTAAGACAATTAATAAACGAATCAATCCAAATGAAATTCTAGGAACTGTGTAAGCTACCAGAGACTAATTCTTTCTACTATTAGATTTCACCAAGTTTCCCTCATTCAGAGGCAAACCCATGGTCCCTTCAACTGTGCTTACACAGTTACATGGGGATACTCCTATTCTGGTTCTAATGCTGTTGTTCCTTTTTGGGGAGTCTCACAACACAGTAACTACAACAACTATGCAGGTAAAAAATTTACTTTTTCTTATCCTTTCAAAGGTAATAGTCTACTACACTCCCCATTTATAGCTCTCTGCTTTTTGTATGTTCAAGGATAAGGTTACATGATGATGTTCTACTATTTCATAGATTCATCCAACAAATACACTCGAATCACACTTTGGGTCAGAGACCTGAGCATTGAATTACCCAGCAAATATTTGGATACCAGAGTCTGTGGCTCAGGAGGTGGCCCAAGCTGAAGACAGAACACTGGGAAATTGGGGTGGGAGTCAGTCACCAGCAGATAGGTGGTGATGGGAGCCGTAAAACAGTTGCTTCTACAATAAAACTGAACTCCTGTGTGTGTGTGTGTGTGTGGAGAGAGAGAGAGATGAAGAATGAATTCATAGCTCACATGTTCTGTTGGCAATGTCTTTCTGACATTTCTTTACTTCCTCCTCATAAGGTAATGTTCACCTCTGGTATTAGCCCCATTCTCCCCACCCCAGATCTGCCACATCATGGCCATTAGTTCTATCCAGTCCACCATCACCTTCAAGACCTCTATCTCTGTCACCTCCTCCAACCACACCTGTACCACCACCATCACCACTTCATCCCCTCCCCACCTCCCACCATGCTTTTTCTCTCCATCTGCAGTCTTTCAAAACGGGATGTTTTGTGGCCACTAGGGGGAAGCAGCAGCAACAGCTGTGGCATAGTTTTGGTGATAGTGTCCTGATCAGAATTTTTTGATTTTGGGCAGAATTCGCTAATGCACCCTATCAGGAAAACAGAAAGATTTGTATCTTGTTTGTTAGTTTGTTTGTTTGCTTTTCTGATTGGTTGCGTTTTCACTTTGCTTTTGGAGGGGGAAGATCTACATGCTACAGCAGTTTGAGAAACACACGCAAAGTTTTCCAGAATAATAAAAACAATACCTTTCTGTGAATATCAGATTCCCCCCCCCAAATGATTCACATTGTAAGTGTTTGGCTGGTTTATTTTAAGGCAGTCAGACTATATTATGATGATGCCTCATTATCAGCCATAACTACAGCACCTGAAAGCTGCCTGTCCTATGAGTAGAAGACGGTGACAAAGGGTGGGCGTGACACTTTGTGAAGGCCTGTTTGTGCCTGTGGGGTTCTGCTCAAAGGGTCCTTGCTTCTTATTCAGAGGTCAGCCCAGTAGCACACTTACCCAGGGAGACATGGGCCACACTCAGCATCATTTTCCATGTCCCCTGGTGTCAACACTGTGGCCCGGAAGAAGCCTTCACAGTCCTTGTGGCGCCTGCATATCTGGTAACCTCCTTTGGAAAACTTCTCTGCAGGGCAGGGCACACAGCCATAGTCATCGTCTTTGGTGCCGTATCCACAGGACTGGCAGGGGAGGCAGGGGATATGAGAATACAGCAAGTGACTACAGAGGCCTGCACAGTGGCATGCTGGCTCTTTCCACCCTCAGCTGTCCATCCTACAGTAATTGCAAAGTCCTGACTTCTGTGGTTCTTTCTTAAAGTTTGTTCCTCTCTACCATCCAATAGTAGACAGCTTCCAGCCTCAGAGAGGGTCCTTAATTTAAATAGGTCCACTGGTTTCCCAGAGTGCCTCACTAGAGGACTAGCCTGGGAGCCTGAGTTTTCCAAGAACTCTGCAAGAACCCCAGACACTGTTGCCCCAGACATTTCTCTGGTGTTCCAAAGAGCATGTGTGCTTAGCCTTTCCACAGAAGGGAGACCCATCATTCAGAATTGATGCACTATTGCACTATTCCTGGAGAATATTTCTGTCTATTTCCAATTCAGACTGTTAGCCCAAAAGGGCAGGATGGGACACTTTTTCAAGAATTCAGAATGCCTGAGAAATATGGTGGTGAGTGCATAGCTGGAGAGTGCACAGATGGAGAATACACAGGTGGTGAGTGCACAGCTAGAGAGTGCACAGCTAACACAGCTGGAGAGTGCACAGCTGGAGAGAACACTGCCACTCCTGGTGAATATAACTTGGTGACCTCTTGGTCCTCAGTGACAGTTTAGGAAGATGGTGCCATGAGCACACCCTTACCTCCCCAGAGCTCAGGCTTACCATGTAGGGCTCCTCCCCTGATCTGCAGGGAGGACACTGGTGGCATAGCCCGGTAGTCTGGTTGTGGTATTCATTCTCGCCACAGTTGGAGTCCTCTGCCTTGGCTGAGCACATCAGAGACACCTGTCACAGAAAGGGTGTTTAGCCTCCACACCTCCTCAAGATGCAGTTACATAGAGACAGTCCCCAGAGAGGCGAAGTTGGCCACCCCTGTCCGCCCCATCCTCAGCCATCCTTACAACCACTTTCTCCTGACTCCGCTGTCCAAACTTATCCTCTTCCCACACCCATCTAAGCCTTGGATTCTCTTAAGCTTATGAAGGAGGCACCCTTCTCTTGAGTCTCTAGACATCTAGGTACTACACATGCTGGTCCTTCTGTCTCATGGTGTCCCAATCCCCACCGACAGGCAGGTCTCCAGGGGGCAGGAACTTTCTGATTGCTTTTAGCTGTGGGCCCATTACATCACTTATAAACACTGAAAGACATTTCTATCTACAAGTCCCATAAAGAGAGTGCCAGGTAAATGGTTCAGATAGAACTGGGGGTACTGTTGTCTTCATTCCATCCTGATGGTGCAGTAGGATGTAGACGTTCTGAAGCCTAGGTGTAGGAGGTTAATGGCAGTCTGGGATGGTACAGCCAGTGAAGGGTGTGGCCTGAGGGAAAGCCCCCACCCTGCAGGTGCTGAAGTTAAGTGCACAGTGGGAGAGGCACTCAGAACAACTTACTGATGGGAGATGTCATTCTGTAAATATGTTTCTCTTATTGGTTAATGAATAAAGCACTGTTGGCCAATAGGAAAGCAAGATAGGTGGGACTAGGAGACAAGGAGGAGAGAGGGAGAAATAGGGAAGGGATTAAAAATGTAGGACCGAGAGAGAAGAACTCCGGACCCTCTCTCCAGTAAGATAAGACCATGTGAAAATACTTAGATTGATAGAAGAGCTAAGCTAGCCAATAAATAATGCTAGTAACAGGCCAACAGCTTTATATCTAATACAGAGTCTCTGTGTGTTATTTGGGGCTGGCACAGCTGTGGGACAAGGCTGGCAGGAAAACCTGCTCATAACAACTTACCACCAGCACTGGGAGCCAGGACATCCATTTGCAGTCCCCCATGTGGGCCATGATCTTCTGGAAGCTTACCTGTAAGACATACTGCATCAGTATCAGTTAGTTCACCTGCACACCCCAAAGAACAGAGTCCATTCTTTCTCAGTCTGTGGGTCACAACCCCATTGGGGGTTGAATATCAGATATTCTACATAATAGATATTTACATTATGATTCATAATAGTAGCAAAATTTGGGGGTCACCACAACATGAGAAAGTGTTTCAAAGGGTCACAGCATTAGGGTGGTTGAAGACAACTGGAATAGACAGACTCTAAGCTAAGCTTCAGGCTGATGACCCTGAAGGCAGCACACACACCTTCTCCAGCATCATACTATGCCCTAGGAAGAACCCCTAGAGAGAAGGCTGAGCAAATGGGGCCTGATCTTAAGCTGGGAGCTAGGGGCCAGTTTGAAGAGTCATCATGTGCAAGCTTTAACTACGAGGTGCCCTGGGCTGGTCCTGCCTGTTGATATCCAGGACAGCAGGAATCTTGGAGATACTGTTGGGGTCTAGTCCATCCACTTGCTCTCACAGCCCACTGGAAGGGTCTTCCCTTTCTTAGGGAAGTCATTAGAAGGGATGAGTGAGATGATGCAATTCAGCCTCCTAATTTTATAATTGAAACAATGAAGGGTAGAGAGGTTAAGTGACTATCCAAGGTCATACAACTATTTAATGTATAGAGGATGCCATAGTGCAGGAATTTACAAACTTGCACCAACATTAGTACACTGCTCTGCTACAGTGTTATCTGCTCAACTTTTCACTATGAACTGGGACTTGTATTTCCAGGTCAAGCTATTTTACCTGGAGTATGAGTATTAATTACCCTTCATGTGATGTACTCATGGGAGCTGCTAGATTCCCCAGGTGCCACCTATGGCCACCATGTTAACACTGAGGGAGGGTAAATTAATGACAAACAGCATACTCTCTGATAGGTAGAGAATACTTGGAACCTTCTAGAATCCACTACTGACTTAAGCCTCAAGTCAAACTAAGCCCTTAAGAACCCCCTAAATCTTTTATGCCATATCCCCTCTTCCTTATGGTTGCTCATGGGAACAAGTCATTTTCAATAGCACACAAAAGAATGCTGGGTAGGGAGGCTCAAAGCAGACATGCACTTGGAAACCACCTCCTCCCTCTGTCTCCCTACCCTCTTCCTTGTAGGAACTTGGCCCTATAATAGCCTAAAGACACGAGAACAGCAGCCAAAGGGCTGTTTGTGTGTTGAAAGTAAGTTTGAGAAGGTGAGAGGAGCTGCACAAGTTGGGCAGGGCTAGGGAAGCCTTGAAAGTTCAGAATCTACTTTCTGATCCCAGCAGGTTTAAGGTCCTGCTCAGTCTGGGTTCTAGAATTAGAGTGTACATATAGAAGAGAAATACCCAAGGTGTAACTAGACAGAGAAGAGGTAGGTAGGGTCTGTATCTGATGAACTTGGAACTTACAGAATTCAGGATATTTCTTTCCTGAGCAGTTCTGCCTAGCCTCCTGCCTCCTCCCCATGGAGCAGTAAGTGGCCACTCTCTTGTTTAAGGAGGGTGGATGGGATCTAAGTAGTGTTCCGAGATGTCTTAATTATCTCCATAATAAACAAACAACAGAATTCTGTGCTGGGGGTGTAGCTCAATGATTAAGTACCCCCCACCCCAACACACATGCTTGTACATGTGAGGTCCTTCACCACCACTGCATGTGTGAAGCCTGGGTTTGGCCTCTAGCACTAGGAAAAGAATATAAATGTTTCAGTTCCCTGGAGCACCATGAAGGGCTCAACTGTTCACAGTTGAGTGCAAGGACTTCATACAGAAGACCTCTCTGGTTCTGCAGGCTATGACACTGTCTGTATGCACAAGAGTGGGGTCTGAATGGCTCCCTAGCTCTACAGCAGAGATTATTTTTGGCTGGAAGTAAAAGAGTGTAGAGGCATGGATCAATGATTTGAGTGGATGGTTTAGTTCTACTCTGTGAACTTAGTGATAGCAAAAACACCACTGAGCTATTTTATTCCAAGAGCTGTCTGAAGATGGGCATTCTGCAAGAGTCTGGGGAAACCCAACTAGGGTCACTGGCAAGGCATTGAGGGACAGGGTCTGGGTCTTCTGTGGGCTTCAGGTACCTCAAAGTTGCCCTCACACATCACTGCTGTCAACTGGGTGGCCTGCCAGAAATGGCCAGGCTTCCAGACTCCTTCACACCTCAGTCCTGTAAGGCAAGATGAAAGTGCTCAGGTTGCCCTCAACTGTGAACTTGTTAGGTGTTTTCCTTCTGGCAAGACACAAGCTGGGGCAGGCTTAGAGGCTGAGAGGATGGCTACAGCCCTAATGGGTGAGGAGGGGTTGAGGCATCAGAGGTCAGAAACAGGCCTCTGTCCTCACACACACTCCTGCCTTAGGCCCACAGCTCTGACCTTGCTTTTGGGACAGTGGGTTAACAGGGATGAGTTTCCATTGTGACTGTGGATAGGGCCAGAAGCTCTGGCTACTGGAGGCCTTCCAGGAGGCATACTAATGGTTTCTAATTTAATTGATGTCTAATTATAGCAGATTCTTGGGAGCTTCCCTGAAACAGGAAAGTGCTGGGCCTGTGCACTTTGGTGTCGGCCTACAGTATTTCTTGGGAGGCTCATTACAGATGTGCCCAATATAACTAGGGTCAAAAGGAAAACAAATAGACAAAGGTTCACAAAAAGCTAGCAGCATCTTTAGTAATTTGCCACTTATCCTGGAAGGTGTAAGGTCTGAGTGGTAAGGAGGTCAGCCCAGCTGGGAGCCCCAGTTCCCCACACTGATAGAAGTGCAAGGGCTAGGAGTTGAGAAAGCTGCCTTCAACCTGGGAGGCCCACAACTGGTTGGTAATGGTAGTCGAATCCCCTCCCATCTGCCTGCAAGCAATGCTGATGCTAAACTTGCTTAATTGGTCAGATGGTCAATGACCCAGGCCAGCCCCCCCCCACAGGCTGTCAACATAGCCCATTGTAATTAAGTGGCACTTGCCTGTTATGTGATGTCTAGAACATTCTCCATAGTCCAGCAGAGACTCTAGGCCCAGGCAGACCACATGAGCCACGTCTGCAATCAGCCCTGGCCAGGGAGGACTGGCACTGTCTCATGAGTGGTTCACCTTCCCACCCCCTCTACTTTTCTGCTTTATGCCATTCCCACCTCCACACAATCTCTACCTGGAGTGACAACATGGCCAATTGTAGAACTGCCAGCTCATGATCCAGTATACCACAAACCTCAGACTTTGTTTTTATCACCGCCCCTTGAGGTGGGCTCAATTCTTATCTTTGCTTTGGTCAGGAAATAGAAGTGCCAAGAGGATAAATAACCTGTCTAAGATGTGACTGTCCCTTGTTTCCAGTCCCTATACTTTATTTATGTACAGTCCTGGGCTGGACAGTGGGAATATTTCATGATTTGTCTCTGTGGGAGCATAGGCTGGGTCTACATAGCCTCTGTCAGAGAAGCCCAAGAAACATGGGGAGTAAGAGGTCAGCCACCCCTGACTTTAAGCTCAGCCCCCTATTCTCACCCTCAGCCTGGCTTGGTAGTTTCTGCATATGGCCTCCCTGTGGCTCTTTCTTCTTTGTCTCTCTATAGCCAATTTTGAATGGTGTGACCTCAGAGAACTTGGGGGTCTTCTGGACACAAACGTGCCTGGGACAAAGTCTTCATGGTCCTTCAGGGATTCTCCTGTCTGCCTGTCTTCCCTTTAGCTGGAGATAGAAAAGCTATACAGACACCTCCCTCCCTATCCGCCTAAACCTTGGAACCATGGCTGCACACTGTAGATGGCTGGAACTAAGGACTAACGTTCATAATTAACTTATGGCCCAAACAAATAGTTGGGCTTCTGTCAAGGAACTCTTTCCCCATGAGGTCTAAATTCCACTGACAAGTGTAGCTAAAATGCTATGTACCTGGCAGGGAACAGGGAGGTTCAGGTGGTACTTGAGACATTTGTGGTTCGCTAAGCTGGGGTCCACAGTAGTGACTGGTCAACTCTTGTATGTTGACCATATCTCTGAAGTGTTCCACCTGGACTATATTCTGGGCTACAGTATTACCCTTCAGGCAATACTTCAGGGGTTAGGTAGTCATCTACAGTTTGGAGACTAGAAGTCCATGATGAGGCTGCAGTAGAGAGGCCCTGTTGATTCACAGGTTTTGTCCCTTCCTTTAGTGCCATTCCTGATGCTGAGCAGGGATGCCTGAGAACTCTTGGGGGGCACAGAGCTTGGAAAAAATACACAGACTTAGCTCACAACAGCTGGTGCCCATGCTCAGAGGCCCATATCCCATTCCTGTGGAGAGTGAGGCAGATGGAAACCTGCCTAAGTCTTGTAGGGGCAGGTAGCGTTAGCTTGGAAAGTGTATTTTAGGAAAAGGCAGAGGCATTTTGAAAGGCTCAATGTGAGGGATTGGAGTGGGGGGGTCTCTCAGGAGCCACTGGCTAGAAAGGTTGTGTATGACTTAGATGAAAGCAGGAGGTTGCAGCAGGCTTGAGAAAAGTATCTTGCTGTCAGTGACTTTGGCTTCACTGTGAAGGAAACAGTTTCAAGGAAGAAAAGTCTCAGAGATCTCCTGGGAGCACAATGAAGGTTATGAGGAAGAACTCTTCCCAAGAACACAGAAAGAGAGACTCTGCTAAAGTCTGACTGCCAACAGTATCTCTCATCTATATTCTGCAGTTTCCATAGTTTTGTTCACCGACACTTGCATTCACCCATGTTTCTGTAAAGTGTTTATGAAATTGTGCATGCAACTGTCTTCCAGACCCTGGGGACAGAGAAAGATATGGTTCCTGTGTGAGGAGAAATGCACCAAACACCAAAATATACAGGAGTTTAGACACATCGTCCCAAGTCCTCTTTTCAGACTCTGTCCTAACTGGGCAGCTTGCCTCTGTTCTCTGAGTGTGGCTGTTCTCTCCGATAGTCACTATCACCAGGACATCCTAGTCTCAGGGGCTTCATGTACATCTGGCCTGTTGGCCCAACCTTGAATGAGGAGAGGCTACC